CCTACGAAGTCAAGCATTCTACTTGGAGATAATGACCACTCAATGCCGAGAACTGACTTTAAGACTATTTTCCATTAGCAATTGTTACACTTCGCTCGTTTTCAGTGTCATACCTTACCTTCGGTTTTGATTTTGATTTACATCTTTTCATTGTGGTACTCTTCAGTACTCTCACAAAAGTATTATTGTTGCTTCTGGTTATGTGGCCATGCGAACGTAGTCGATCTTTAAGCATTTTACTAGTTGTCATCTCTGACCCTCGTTCTACACTCCGCTGAGACACCATAATGACCGCGTCCAGGACATTGTGCCCACTTCCATGATGCGTGAAGAACACTATCCGTGTTGTGAAATTGCTGGCATTTTCCATATTTTGATTGGCACTTTGTAAAGGTCGACAAATTTCTGCTATTTTTTTCCTTGTACTTTTACAATATATTCTTCTCTAATCAATGCTATTGTTAGCATTACCGTAATGTCTGAGGTGTATATCGTTACGAGTTTTTCTCGTTTTCATATCGGTGATTCCTTGTATACATTTCTACAGATAATATAAGATATCCAATTTAAGCGTTTAGTTTGAAAGCGGTAGGTAACGATCAATCTCTGAGGAATGCAATATGCGTTCGACTTCATCAGACAGCGTTAGAGGTGATTGAATGCATACCTGGCCTTTAAAATGATTTGCAGTGGACTAGCGATGCATCAAGTCAGTACCAATATCCTCCAACACATGGCTAGTTGTAATATGATGATCTCAGATGATTAAGGTCTTGGTGAGCCCGAGGCATAGGATCTAACCAATAATCTTGTGTGCGATGTTTTGACCGTCTTTAAGTAAGTTGTGCTTGTCGGTCAGGCCTAAATTTGTACTGTGATAATTTGAAGCTCATTGCAAAAACCGTTTCAGAAGGCAACTGTTTCTTTGTTTTCTGGATGAGCAGACACTATATTGTTACTGTTGCATTTATTCATTCACAATAGCTTACGTTTCGGCGGTTTCTCTTTCTTCAGAGCCCGAAAAAATCTAACTAACACGCAATCTACTTGGCCAAATAATTTCCTTATCTCAGTTGATAAAAATTAATGCATTAATTTTCATCGCTTATAAGCAGCTTTTCTTAAAGACCCACCGTTTTCAAATCATAGGTTGAAATACGACTGAGAGGAAGGTAAGACAAATCACCCGTATGGGGTGGTGGTGAACGCGTTCCTCCACGGAAAGGGTAATAGCGCGTTCGCTCCCCACCGCAGACAACTGCGGTCTAGAGTTTTGCAAATATCTCAGCACGATTGTGGTTATAAAGCTTACTTTTTGTTTTTTATAAGTCTTCCAATTATTATTGAAGACCAGCTGCACAGAGACTTAGATGGGCAAGGAATGCACCTGGCTCAGATCAAAAAACCAGCGAATGGTATGGTATGGCGGAGATGACGCGAGATGACCAAACGCTTTTCTTGCGGTTCATTTTTGAATTTTTGAAGTTTCCCCAAGCGCTTCGAAACTTTTACGTGCTAATGTTTTGGAAAAAAAAAGTTCTTTCTGTTGCAACTATTTTTTTTGGCGTCTCTGGTGGTGAACATCGTAGCGAGTTTGTGGATTTTCTTGATCAGTTTTTATAGCTGGTTGTTACTGCCCACTGTCGCATCATTCAGAAAGGAGTTAAGTGCACGTTTCATTTATAAAGAACTTTCCAGGTGCTTTCACTATTTAGTCTTTTTTTTCGCTTCCGCATCTATGCTACTCGAGCTTGTTTCCATTGTCCCCAAGTGACAAAGCGTTGCTTCTGAATTGAAGATTCTTATTGCATCTGTCGTGCGGACATCACCATATCATTATTATTATTATTATTATTATTATTATTATTATTATACGCATGTACTACCGCTTGTGTCTATCGAACCAAGTAGGACGAAACCAAGGAAATTATCGCTGTAATTCGTACTTTTGGTGGATATGTAGCTACTTCTGATCGTCACGTTTGCCGAAGGGCTGGAATTATGAACCTCTCACGTGTGCGTTCCATTTACCTTGCAAGTATTATGGAATATTTCTTATTCTTATCACTTACACCTTTGAGCGTTTTTGGCCTACAAAAGGGAACCACTCACCATTTCCAGGTTTTGTATACTAAAACGAAGTCTAGCAAGAAAAAGTTGTCAAGAGATGGTATTTCTTTGAAGTAAGGAGAGCCAAAACATGATATTTCAGCTTTTAGAAAATCTGTTCATAGTATGAATAAAAACAAAAATATAGATTGTCTCCGGACGTCCCTACTTTTCGACTAACTTTTATTTGCCACAGGCCCGCATCGATGGCGTAATATAGATCCGTGCTGAACATAACCCTTTTACAGCCTTCTGTAAAACAGCAAATTAAAACATTTATTTTTTATGCAACAAGTGTATAAAGAATAATCCTGTTGAAGAGGGCTAGTAAGATGTTCAGTGTTATACGGCCTCATTTACAGCCATTTATCTTCCAGAGCACTCAATCATCCCGTCATTGTGATCCATGCAATGTGAGAGATGTTTTCATCTGATTTTATTTGCTAATGAACGCTAGTAAACAACCTTGTGAGCTGTCTATATTTGCCGTATTACGGATTTACAAGCAACTAATAGCGCGTTGTTGCGCTGATAATCCCGCGTAAAATCAGTTGTGGTGCTTCCACTGCTAGCTAAGCACCCACAGGTGGATAATCGCCGTCAATACAATGAGCTAATCTGTCTTTCTTCAGAACCTTTCTTTGAAAAGTTAACTTTTATTTGTAGTGGTTTCAACAGTTATTTCAGTTAAGTTTTTTTTAGTAGTTGAAGACTTGCTTGAAGACTAACGGAATATAACTAGCAACAAAAAAAATCCAAAAAAATTCAGAAGGCCAGCCAACTGGACTACCAGAAAGCACTCCGATCTTAGCTCAATTCGAATGAATGAGGGTTTTGAGCGGAAGCAAAACTACTTCCCTGGAGTTAGCCGGTGCTATTTGAGGTTATACATACGGGTTGGCTTCATTTCTCACAAAATCTGGTCATATCGCCGACTATTTGCGGCACATCACCTCTTTACGACAGTGGACACAATAAAACGCGTGAATGAATAGGAATAATCCGAAAGAATCCCCCATTGATCAGCCTCAGTCGGTTACTCAGTACTTATACTAGAGCTCTTTAATACAAATCTAAGAGAATGGATTAATGAGCTTCAAGTATACAACGATAATTTTTGGTCGGTGAGAATTTCACTATAATCTTCACCATCGTATTGCTTAAATAAGATTAAGATTGATGGGAAAGAAAGAGAAAAGTTTTAGAAGAAAAAGTATTGTGGCCGAACGAAATTAAGGGGGCGATGTTTTCATTTATAATAAATCTCGTTTCACCTTTTATGTCTCCATCGTACTCTCCACCTACTTTATTCATTGGATTCAACAAATGTTTGCACTTTCTACCGTAGCGATGCTTTCTCCTTTTGATTTAAATTCCATGTCAATTCGCCATCGGAACAAACACCGGTGGTGCATCCATAGAAATATGTTACTAATTAAATAGCAGCCATTTTATGGAAAATGGAGGTGTTGCAGACCCACTCAGGCACAGTTGCTATTTAAGGAGTGAAAACTGAAAAAAATGAACTATCTAAGCCAATCATACTGTGCCAACTTAGCACTAAAATGTGCACCTGAGACTCGGAGCCATCTGAGCCGGCTGGCGCCTTAGCTTTACCTTCGAATGACTTGGACCCGTCATCATCAATCCAAATCACTCGCAGACTGGACTCGAAAATTCTTACTGCGCCATGTTTTCCACCTCTTTCTATCGTCGATGTGCATTTAGTATGGCTCTCATTTAGCCAGATGACGCCGCACTCGAGCTTTTTATTGGCATGGGCTTTTCGACCCTTTTTTACTCCTCATTCGTCTTTCGGCTGTTTTTGCACCTCGCGATATGTCAAGATATTACGCTTTTCGTCAGCATGTTTGTTCTACGTACGTATACACAATCACGACGTTCTTTTTTGACCAACAGATCTATGTACTATTCTGCCTAAGTGTGTAATAGAGCAAGACCTTTGTTGTATTCGATAGAATGAGCCGTTCTTAGATGAAACAATAAATGAAAGCTCAACAGTTGCCGTATTCTTGAGAACTTTGCGCAACGTTTTCTTACTTACTCAAGACATCGAATTTAAGTCGATATTCCGTAAGAAGTAAAAATGTACTCTAAGGATGACGCACTCGCCATCAAATAACGCTGGCTATTTTTGGTAACAATGCCTAGCCGCCGTCTAGATCTACTTAGAATCACAACGACCATAACATTACCATAACAGTGGTCAAGGAGAATATCGTTTTTCTACGATTGATCATTGTGTGATGTGTCAGTGAGATTTTGGCAAAACATTGTCGGGCTGAATCAGTGTGTTGGAAGATCTCACCAGTCGAATGACTGGTTTTATTGGCCACATACTGCTCGGATGCGTTATTGTGACAAGATGAGCAAAGGCTGATTGACGTCAAAAGTGCGTCTGAGCGTTTTCATTATTCACACTGCGTTCAGGCGAAATTTACTATGTGAAGAAATTTCACTCGTAAATCCAATTCATCCATCGTCAACGTCGCTAACATTCTTGGCGAATCTCAGTTTAGCAATGACCCTGCCTTGAAAAGGAATTATGTTACTCGCTCAATGCGCTTGAGACATTATAATTTGTGACTGGCTCGAAAAAGGAACGAACTTGCTCGAGTTCTTCAAAAATCACCGCTAGCGGCTGATCTTTTTTTGTCTGAAGACTCAGAACTCTGAAAAGGAGTATTTGATTGATTTCTTGCAGTGCTCATTTCATGGTCCCATCTTCGATATCGTAGGTTTAGATATTTGAGTGGTCCGCTAAATTTTTCGCAATACGTATATTTTGTGAAACTCGTGTTTATTTTCGAAGCTGGGCAAAGTTCGTAATGTTTCGCAATGCTTTTTTCGAACGAAACGAGACTTTTTAGATGGATGAAACGTGTCATTTGCTGAAGGGAAATGGTTCTGTCTCATCACCAACTGTTCTCATTAACGTGGGAGGACGAAGAGCAAGGCTGTCACACGAAATGGTAGTTTGCAGAGATATGTGTTCAGTTTATTTGATATTTTTTTCACGGAAGAAGTTTCAGTCGACTCTTTTGCCAATGTCAGAGACAGTCTGTAAGCATCGCCTATAGCAACTATAGCAATTCCCTTTATTTGTTTTTAAAATGGTGAGATGCACTTCCAAGTGTTATTGCAATTATCGAATGACTCAGATTAGCTAAAGAGAATCCTCGAAACATTTCTGTCGTGCTACAGAGCTTCCAAATGGAGTTGACTTGCTCCATGGGAATCTTTTCCGATTACGTATTTCTATTGCTTCTTAAGAGATGTCATTTACGCCTTGCTCGTTGAGTTCTACAGTTCATATTGATATGGTCATGAATAGCTCGTCATGATTATGCATCTTACTTGTTGCAGGTGACATCCACTCCTTCCATTTTCTTTTCGGTCACTCGACTGCAAACTTTTAGACCAATGGTTTTGCTGGGAAGCATTTTCATAAATGTACGCTTGAATATGTGGCTACTTGGATGTCGAGCATATATATACTTACATATATGTATACATATATACATATATATACATATATATATATGTATAGAGAGAGAGGGCACCTCCTAAGAATCAAACTGCTTCCTGTTGAAAATAGACGGAAATTGTGTCTTCTGGTCTATGTTCAGCAGCTAATCCGCCATCAATAGACGCGCCACGTAGCCTCGTGATTACCTAGTTCGAGATCGTAGACGCGAGGGAGGTTGGGGCAACACAAAAGTACTCTTAACCTTCCGACCATATCCTCGACACTATTTAACTTTAAAAGCGAAGAGTTTTCCAAGGCACTTTTTTGATTTTGCGAACTAATTCTTTTCGACACACCGTATAGGAAACATAGAATAAAAAGTCACTCATTAACCAAAAGCATTGGTAAAATAGAACTGATAAAACTCCGGACCACAGGTGTATGCAGTGGGGAACGAACACGCCCTGTTGTCCTTACCGGGGAGCAGCGCACTTCACCACTACCCCATCCGGATGGTATAGTGGTGAAGCGCGCTGCTCCCCGGTAAGGACAACAGGGCGTGTTCGTTCCCCACTGCATACACCTATGGTCCGGAGTTTTGCAAATATCTCAGCATTTCATACGAGTTATAATTCGAAACATACCCTGCCATTAAGAAGAAAAAAGGCAGTAAATAAAAGAGTTAAGAACTGATAAAGTCAGTGAAACGAAATTTTGTAAGCATCTCGAAGAATTTTAAAAGTAAGAACAGAGTTAGGTGAAATTACTTGCTTACTAGGATGGTCTGCCTTCAGTTTATGCGAGCCTTAGCGCAATTTCAATTTTTCCGGTGTTTTGCTGATTGAGCCCCTGTTGTTCACTGCAGCCCGAGGTTAGCCTAGCCAATGTCCGCACCATGTCTTCACCACCACAGGGAGTTGCCACCTCTGTGGATCAGAGGGATATTTGCCACCATGTGACTAGTTTGATTCCAGGGCGGTGGTGAATCTTGGTATTGGTTTACTCATTGCAGGGCTTCATAATGAAAACGTCAAGCTCCTTCTCAGCTTGGGAGCTTCTACTGCGGGGATGAATTCCCCAGCTCCACATTGCAGCTCAACACCCAGGGAAACCTCCCAGCCACGATGAGGCAGTAAACCAATGGGAAGAAGTGAAATTACTGTGAATGTGAAAAAAACAGCGTGTTCTATTAAACCGTGAATCTTCTCATATATTGCATCTAAAAAATCTTCGGAATTCCTGTTCACGTTAGTCAAATAAATATAATCACATCTTTTTCTAAAAACATTGAATCTCTTGGGATGGAAAGCTTTGCCAAACTGCTCGTTATCCATTGCGTATTTAGATGGGTGTCTTTATGTTTGAACTACAGCTCAGTTTTATTTCGATCGTCACTTATAATTTTCTGAACTATCCTCATTGCTTTTGAAAGAAAATTCTATTATTCTTATGGTACAGCGGAATCGCTTAGAGCTTGAGCACCAGATGTAGGACTCTTATAAGACTTCTGGACTTCGGTGGCTATAGCTGTCAGGAGTCGAAATGTGACCTGTACAAAGGATTCTTTTTATATTTAAGATAGCTCGCCTTCTGGACGACTGCAGGCTGTCAGCGTTTTGCCGCAAGTCGCATATCGAGAGATTGACCGATTGCGATGCCTATTTTGAACACGCCGACGAGTACTATTTCGAGCGGAGTCCAGTAATCTTCGAGTACATTGTCGACTTTTTCATCTCTGGTACGTTTTCGCCTTAAGCTTTACTTCCATATCTAAGAGCACTGAGCGTATCAATCTATTCTTTATAAGTCTTATCTGGTATTTCTTTGACAAGCTGAAATGAAGCTCACACCCGGGGCTAGATGAAAGTCACCTAATAAAAGTCTTATCTGATTAACATAGCACTTTGCATGTTTTGTATTGATGTAACGTTTATTTTAAAATTGATAGATTATTCATTTGCTATTTACTGTTTGAACTGCCTGAGAGAAAGGCAAAGCAAGAGCCTCGGTGGTGCAATGGGTAACACGTGAGCCCCGGAAATGGAAATTGCGGACACGAAGACCATCTGGGATTCCGAGTTTTGCTCATATCTCAGCATTCTTGTGGTTTTGATCATTTATTTGTTTGTTTGCTTTATTCATTTAGTATTTATTTACTTGTTTATTTATTCATTTATTTGTTTATTCGCTTGTTTATTTATTGGACTTATATATTTATATCTATTTAGTTCTTTGTTCGTTTGTTTGTTTGTTTGGTTGTTTGTTTGTTTTTCTATTCGTTTATTTCTTTACCTTCTTATTTATTTATTTATTTGTGTAATTTATTTATTACATGTGTTAACACCACGTTCATTACGCTGTACGGATTACAGCGACTCTTGTAATGCATTCGTTTCCTCATATCCACCATTCTAGGAGATCTTTAAACTTTTGTTCACGTGTCTTCCGCTGCTGCTTGAAGGCTTTTTCATCTTTCTCATAAATGCCGTTGACTTCTGGTCCAGTTGATTCTCCTTTGAACGCTGAGACAGCCGTGCTAGGGCAATCCCACGTGGATTGAAGAAAATGATCCTGTTCTGGACAGGTCAAGTACCGATTTCCCAACCCCAAACAATGAGAGATTTGGTGGATAGAGTGAGGAGTCTAAGGATTGTTATTATTACTAGTGCTCGACCCGTTACCAACATGATAGATATGATAGATCCCAATAGAAAACTATTCAGAGCACATGTTTTGTAGGTTGACAAGAACTCACAATGGCTTAGCAAAATCTGGACTCATACCACGACCAGTCTTACCATAGAAAAACGTTGAATTAGGTCTCAAATGAGGAATAGGCGGTTTTCAGTACGAATTTTTCTTAGTGTGAAGCTTATGTTGCTCCCGTGAAAAATCTGGACACTCCGAAAACTGGGAAAATCACGTTCGAAATAGGTTCATGTTTTTTTGACAAGCACTGACGAGATCATTAATACAGTATTCATTTCGGAGTTGCTAACGTTTTGGCGGATTTTACTTCCTTCATGGCTTAGAACAGATGAAACTGACACATAATCTACTCAGTTAAGAATTTCCATAACCCCTACGCAAAAACTCTGAACCTAGGTTTCAGTAGCATGGTGAAAAGATTCCATCGAGCACTAACGTTGTTTGTTCCGACTGTCTTCGTCTTAGTAAAGGAGAAGCGTGTTCTTACATAGCATGCTGCCATTTATCTTTGTTTATTTGGAGTTTATGTAAAATGCTTCGAGAATTTTGCGCTCTGATGTCTAGATTCCTTTGCGAGGATAGTGTAATTTATTTCGAATGCTTTTGCCTTGCTGCCCTGTTCGTACCTAGAGTATTCGGATTTTGTACCTTCCGTCTAGGTGTTCTTTTACACACGGACAAGTGGCCTATCCGTTTTGCCAATATGCCACTCCACGCACGCCTTAAAAAGGTCATGTGCACCATAACGAAACCCATACGGTTAATGTGTCTACCGTTTGCACGAAATGGTACTAGAGATTTTGGTGGCAGTTGAGTGTTTCCCATCGATTTCTCTAGACTGGTCTGTTTTAGACATTGCTTATTAGCAGTGCTTATCCTGTTCGTAGCTTCTTCTTCTGCACTGTTCCCGTGCATACACTGCTAGCTGTTCGAACTTTGTTTTTCACAGGCTCACTTTTTGCATGTGGAGGATGAGCAGCGAGAAAATGGACCAGAATGATTTTCTTACATAGTTTTCGGCATTACTTCATGTCGTTGTCTTTTTTGGAAAAATGGCATTCAATGGCCAAAAATGGAAGCGTTTTTTTGGTTTCTCCCACTTTAAATAATCTGTTCAAGGAACAACTCAAAACCCTTATCCATCATTTCTTGTGCACAGCAGTTGAAAAAAAGGTAGTCGATGCTTTTATAGCGGGGCACTACTAGACCAAAAGCTGGAGCTCTTATTTGAAGTATGACAGCTATCGGCTAGGCTTGGTCCCAGGCACCATTTTGTTGCCCCGTCTCTACTGGTGCATGACGCGCACAGGGTAGCCATGGTTTTCGTTTTTCCTCTATGTTTAATGCTGACTTCGAGGCTGACTTTTATTACGGAATCGTTCGGCGCATTTGGGCTGAAGGCAGCAACATCGAAAGACTCTATTAAGTTCGTATAGTTAGGACATTCATTCGTTGTATAGGTTGAAAACAACTAGTTGAGTAATAGCTTTACAAACCCTGTTATTTTTTCTGTTGCACAGTGTGCCCAATTATGGCCTTAAGTCTGTCCTTCAACATTTATGGATAGGTAAGGCAAGGTTATCAGTGGGACATAATTTATGTTTTGACAGGTAAACGTAATAGGAAATATGTTGGTAGAAAATTTTTTAGCTGCTGGTTTTTTGATTTGAGATCTGAAAATGGACATTTCCTATTCCATGTGAACTCTGCGAATTTGCTCTCCAAAGTGGGAGATGCACAAATAATAACGTTGAATATTTTAAAAAAACTGTTTATCATCTTGCTGAAACCTAGGTTTTAAGATTTTCGTCATGACCATGAAAGCATTTGATTGAGTAGATTGCAAGCCAATTTGATCCCCTCGAAGTTTTGGAAGAGGCGAAATCAGTTTAAACGTTGGTTGTTGTGAAATAAACTTTCTCTCAACAACCTCCTCACTGTTGTCAAGAGCACGTAACACTATTGAATAATGCGAAGATTAGTAGAAAGCCGGTCATGGAAATCGTTACCCCGTGCTCGAAATCACTTACGGTCAATTGCAGCTCTTAGAATTGCAGGCAGTATGATGCGTGGATTTCTGTCTAGATTGTATCATCAATATTACCTATAAATCTGGCAGTGCACACAGTTCCCAGGATCGACTTTCTCTTAACCTCGGCATTGGAATATGAATGTGTCGTTTTCTTGTTCAGCAATCGCGAGGTTCTTAAACAGCATACATTTACTTCCATAGAGAAACACAACACAATACAACGCTAGCTGACGCTTCAGCAGTATCGCCTTCTTCAGAGCCTGGAAGGGTATACTGATATACAATCTACTAGGCCAAACGCTTCAATAACAACCACAACGTTGCTGAGATATTTGCAAAACTCTGGACCGCAGGTGACCATAGACACCATAGACACCTGCGGTCCAGAGTTTTGCAAATATCTCAGCAACGTTGTGGTTGCATTTCGCTTAGTACCCTGCCGCGAAATTATAGTAGGCAGAAAATAAAAAGGTATAACATTGTGGCTTCAATAACACTTACAAAAAGACGGAAAACTCTATGGTAATTGCATGGTATGCTGATATACAATCTACTAGGCCAAACGCTTCAATGACACTTACAAAAAGACGAAGAACTCTCCGGTAATTACATGACACTTCTCGAAAAACCCACCGCTTTTTCGTGACTTCCAATGAGGAAGTTTAGAACAGCTGATTATAGTCGCATGTGGTTGACGACTGCACCATCCCACACCAAAAATCGATGCGAACGTACGGGATCAGGTCGCGTATGACTTCCGGGCATTCGTCCCTGCTATTCATTGTAGGGTTTTTGGCATTGATCCAAAAAGCCTCTAGGAGTTTTCGCGCTGGCGTTTTGGACTCCTGCGCAAGGATATTGACTTTCACTTCAAAATCGTCTCCGCTATGGTTTTGTATCCTATGCGTGCCTAGTGGGGTGCTTCGTCCTAGTTTTCGTTTGCCATCTAGGTGTTCTTTTATACGGATACACAAAGGTCTGCCCGTTTCGCCAATATATTCATCTCCGCAATTGTTACACGAGATCAGGTATATCGTACCTGAACTCATGCAATCACCGTCCCTGCCGTAAGGGCAAATTACGCAATTTGTTGTTTCACACAGACGGTCATACAGGCCGTTGCGAACTAATTGGCGACGTAGAGTAGTCGGTAGTATTTCAACTATCGCTACCGATTCCTCTAGACCTGCCCTTCTCATTTGAACAGGGATATTTCTCTACAGTAATTTATCACTGCTCCTGCTACTTCTGTAGTGTTCCGCATGAGCGCTATTTCTTGAAGGGCTTCAGCCGCTTTATTTGATTTAATCCCGTTCATAACCTCAAGGTACTGTAACTCGCTTATCAAGATTGATTGAACCAGTAGGTGAGTGGGCAGCAAAAACAATGTGAGAGATAGATCTCTTTCTTTGAGCAAAAACGATGCGGAAGTGTTATTAGTGCCTTACATAACATTTTCTCAGCTTTTGTTGACAATAACAGTGTCCTCTACATAGAGTCTGTTTACTCCATTAGCCTATAGGGTGACTGAAAAGTAATTCCCTAATCAACATGTATTTAAATTGCTCAGCTAAAAGGATGCTGATGAACAACTTTGTTCGGCTAATGTTTCGACTCTTTTCGAAGAAGATGAACTGAGTCGATGTCCACAGAACTTCGTACCCTCATGTGGTGCCTTCACTGTCGGATCGATTCCCATCTTCTCTTCTTCAGTGGGGCACGGCTCAAACGAGGCAACCTCACCCGGCAATGCTCTTTTGTGAAGAACGGCTGTTGTTGATGTGATTTCCGGTGATAATAACTTGTTTTTCCCGGACAGTCTATCCTGCAGCAGTCGGTACAATTATCAGCTAGCACAGGGCATAGCAGTCATTCATAATCGGCTTCCCTTTAACATCGGTATGTCTAGCCATATTCATTCTAAGCTACAAATTGATCGAACTAATTTAACCAAATCACACGAGGCTAAAAGGAAAGTCAGATTTTGAAATACTGAAGTATCTCCTTGTTCCTATAGATCAAAGGATCCCATTTAAGCTATTTTTCTTGAGTGCAGTTCGCGCATAGTGAAAGGAGTGCACGCTTTCCTTTCTGTTAATCCAGTTGACTTTTTTGGGCTATGGGTAAGCATTTGTGGAACAACTTGCACGTCTTTGAAATTCATGTTACTGAAATTAAAAGGGTGAATGTTTCGTCGATTATTAGCTGGAGATCCTGCAACCATGAGTGGATTATGATTTTTGATAATGTATGCCTCAATTTGAGCATATTTTTCTTCAATGGCCCTTCATCATTTTTGCACTTGGGGAACGGATCGCAAGCATTTCATGTCCAAATTGTACTTCGTACACCAATTCAGCCACTTCAAACAGAATTTATTCAAATATACCCGATTCCATCATTGTGATCACAGTCATAATACCGTCCATTTACATATCCGTCATACCAAGACTGTCAAAACTATGTGTTTTATCATCATCATCCTCATCGTGCTTATCCAGACCGTATCGAAATCTCCTTTATCCTAAAAAATTTGATTTTATCAAAAAAAATTAGCTTTTTACGACGTCGACTAGACATCTATCAGTATAACTTTTTATCCCCAAATAATTTATAATTTGTTGACCACGGATGACGTCATCATTTTTTTCTTGACCCGCATATCATAACGTGAGCCATCCAGCCACGTTTGTAAAGCTTCTACATTTCGTTCCTTCATAGTAGATTATAAGTCCTTTAAAATAGTGGTTTGCTCTTGAGTCACCCTGTAGTATCCTTTAATTTTAACTACTACCAGTGCAACGTAGAATATCGTCGTCTTTTAGGAAAACTACATCGGCCGATGGACATTTGCCCAATAAGGCTACGCTACGAGTTGGAGTACTGGCGGATTCCCGTGCACTTCCTCTCGCCTTGTTGCACTCTCGAAGATAACAGCAGCATCAGCAAGAAGATAAATGAGAAGGTCCGTTCTGGAAGTATGTAGACAATTAATTGTTCCACATTTGTCACAGTGGTTCGTTAGGAAGTTCTGCAATACACGGAAGAGATGAATTAGCTTTAACAAAACTTGGAAATATCCAACTGCTCGTTGGTTATGATCTTGGAAAGGTTCCTTCCTATTAGGTGTTTTCTCTACGGTGAGATATTGCTAGGTATACTTGTTAAAGTGGAGCTGCGAAATTTTACTGAATTACTTGACTGAAATTTTATGGTGGAAATAAAATTTAAACGACAGTTTTAGAGCTTTGAGAGGATGCTGTTTATTTATATAAGTCCGTTTCTCTTTTTTTTTGAACATGCATTTTCTATTATTTGATCATTCTCCGAAAAATTCGCAGATATTAGGCAAGACTACCGTGTACTTTAGATTGCTCGCGAGTCCATCTGCCCTCCGTCGTCGTTCGAAAAAGTCTGGATAGGACAGATACGGTATTACCTCTACCGGTTACTAGAGAATCCGCAATCATCCCTGGCAGCAAAAGTGTTCTCTATCGTCTCTGCTTGTTTTGTACTGTTTTCTCTACTAGGTAGGCTAAAGAAGTCTTCACAGATATGCAGCGACTAGTACCATTGAATCGAATTTGCATCATTATTAAACTAAGTTGAAGGCTTCTCCTTTTCTTGAAGCTTGCAAATAGATTGTGTTGTACAAAATCGATCATTGGAGTCTAGAGTCATGCTTTTCCATATATTAGCTTATTGTAGGCTATTTATAAAAAAATTAAAAGAGACAAAGCTCTTGGTGTTCATCAATCCTTGACGATTGCGCCAAGCATTCGACTTCACTAAGCATAGTTGGGAGGTGATTGAATGCATATCTGGCCTTAACAATGACTTGCGGTGGCGTACCAATGTATGGAGCCAGTGTTGCAATCCTCCTAATAACAGAAGTCCGGTACCAGTTTGCCGATCCCGGAGAGATGGATAACTTGGTGATCCGGGGCGTGGGAAATTGTTCTTGCAAGGCGCCTCCGACAACTGCCCCACACGCACTAGTGCCGGTTATTTATGGATTATAATAATTTAGAATATGTTTATTCTATTCTAAAGTCTGCGACAAAAAAAACTGCTGAAAAATTTTTTCCGAGAAGTACAAATGGATTTTGTAAGAGATGTCATCATATGGTACAGAAATCGATGACATTAGTCCCTTTCACGAAAACCCCTCTTGCAGTTTATTGCAGACTTCTATTAAACATGAAAATAACCACTGTTTCCTTACGAGTTTCTCTTTTTTCTACTGTACTGCTACATATATCTGTTCTTTCAACAATCAGATTGTGATTTAAATCAAATCCTCCAGGTTTGATTCTAAGTTCAATGCCCGAACTGCAGGATGAGCATAAGGAACCACATCTGGTTCTGCAATGGCTAGAGATGTGGTATGTTCTTCAAGTTTTGCTGCCTATTTCAGTTACTTTTGTTCTGAAACCAAATGTGAGAGACTGATCTGGATTCTTTCAGCTGTATGGCGTATTTCACTGCTGAGTATCTTGCACGATTTTCCGTTAACCCAATGAAGGTAGTTAGCCGCTTCTTTCATAATTCAACCACTTTATAGGAGAATGGAATATAATAAGTGGTCATAAGACGAAATAATCTTGTTGGGCCATAAGCATGTAGAGCTCATTTCAACAATTCTGTCAAAGTACCAATAAAATCAATGTAGAGGAAAAGGCCAGTTGAAGATTCGCTACTCTGTTTCAAACGTAGACGCTGGCCATTCAGGAAAACATTACCTACTACGATAATTTCACAGTCCGTCTTCACGAGTTGTGTGAACCCCAGCGAATGTTTCATTCATTTCCTTGCCTCACAATCGTCGTCCATGGTAGTGGCTTGATACGAGATTGGGGGCGCGTGCGGGTCACATAGCGTTATCTATAAAACAACTTCAGCTGCGATCACACCTGTTCGACTTCATTTACCAACACATCCGCTTAGCGTGTATATGGCCATCCTAAAAGAACGCCTGGGCTCATGTGGCGCAGTGGTTGGGAGCGTCACTGAGACATACACATGGAATCGATCCCAGCCCCCATGGCCCTCCAAGCCTTCCATCCCTCCGGGGTCGGTAAATTGGTACCAGACTTGTCTCGGAGGATAGCAGCACTGGCTCGACGCATCGGTAGGATACAGCTGGTTATTGTAAAGGCCAGATATACATTCAGTCACCTCCAACGATTCTTAATGAAGTCGAATGCATGGCGCATCCTTCAGGGAGTTTCAGTTTCATTGTTTTTTCGCATGTTTGACGTCATTCGAGAGTTTCGCTGGGGAAGTGCCTATTTCACGATTTTAGACAAGCTAGCCGTTTTTCGAGAGTTCCGCAGGAAATGGCTTACTACAATTTACCATTGATCAGCGCAGGGAGCTTTATCCTTATCTTTTAAAACAGCGCCTGCATTCTCGTGTACTCCACTCTACAGTTTTTTCTTCCATTTGTCGTCTGTTCCTCTTGTTTCATGACTGGCCCGTCTACGTTTCGCCATCGATTTGTGTTATCCTGAATCTCTAAGGTGGGATAGACTTTGGTGTTCAGAGCTCCGTGATCCGGAAAGATGTGGTGTGCCGTTGTGTAATTTTGTTGTTTATTTTTCATTTTATTCTCGACATTTCTGTTGAGTAATATATTTTTGAGAAATATATGTGTATATATTGTCCTCGACACTTTTTCTTTACTATTTCTATTGTTTTTTGCTTATTAATTTGTTTTTTGATTATTGTTGTTTTCTATTTCATTTCATTATTTGTTTACCACATGAAGTGTTTTACGATTATTTTCCGAAGGCTGTCAAAAATTTCCATCCATGCGTCAACATAGAGAATTACATTTGTGAAACGACAACGGAACGATTCTGTGTGTTCCAGACGTGCCATCGAAACAAGTTTATGTCTTGAGAAGTCTTCTATTGGTAGATTAGTGATAGTTTGAAGGTCTTCACCCTCACTCACTTTTGATGAGGCTAATCTTGAAGTATCGTTCATTTCTGCTTTAGCTTCCAGATTGATGAAGCATTTCTTTGAACGATCAACACTCGTTCCAGGCTAAATTCGTGCGTTCACCTCTCAATGTGATTGACGTGCTGACCATTCTTCCATTCCTCATCGAAATGTTCAATGAATTGCAGTGGATGAAAAACTTTCGAGGTATGTGATTGAGAATGAGTTCCTGACTTGCCACAAGTGTGGTCTCTTCTCTTCACATAAATAATTTGTTATTTAGCAACAATGGGAAGCAACGGGCCATAAATCTACTTAATGTGGGAAATAACAATCAACATTAGAAATAAACCGGCGCTTTGTGTCATGAAACTCCGTACACTATAGTTCACATATCTCATCACCTACGTCCGAGAAGGTTGCTGACATTAGGCGTGATGACAGAACGAATTTCGCTTGGGACTGGAGGTACTGAAGATACAGCTGATTCATGCAACAATAAATATATTTGCTCCGTCGACGGCCTCATTCGAAATCTCCTTGCCCGACTATGGTTGCACTTAAGTGCCTTTTTCGTATATGTGTCTCTTTTGCATTTCGTGGCTATTGTACTAGTATTTCACTATAGATAAGTTTCTCTTTGAGAGTATTCATCAAGAGTTTGTTTACTAGCTGATTTTCACATCACTTATTAGAAACGCGCCAACATGATGCGCATAGTGCTCAGGGCAGAAATCTGGCTTTTGCAACCAGTGTTGGTAGTTGACAGTGAACAGCAAGACCGGCCGTAATCTAGTATTCCAATATTGCAGATTTCGTACTTCTGCTAACAACTAACACTTTTATATAACGAATCCTTGGTAACAAGTTTACATGGGGTCCTTGAGGTTTTTTGTTGTGAAGCAGAATATATTTATGCCGAACTCCATTACTTCTTTTGTAGTTAGCGTCATATAACGGCGCCAAAATATTTTACATTGCTTTTATTAAGCCTGGCGACGTTATATCTTACCACCACCAAAGCAATTTTCAGGAGCAATGTTAGTGGTTCGAGTTATGCGGTTAGCTCGAGTGGCCAGAATCTTCAAGCTGGCTAGGTACAGCACTGGTTTACGAGCGTTTGGTGAGACGATGAAGAAGAGCGCCGCAGAGCTGAGCATGCTCGGCATGTTCTTGCTCACAGGTGAGATATAGCCACTGGCAGTACAGCCGCTTACTTACATATGTGCGTTCTTTTTTTTCTTAAATGAAATTCACTAGCTATTCGGCTTCATGATAAAGAATTCAACAGAGTAGCAATAATGCGAGCGAAATTGCACAAATGTGAAGAAGAAGCCGTAGTGCTTTTATGAAATTATAGAAATTGTAAAAAGGTGTAGCGGCTTGTAACTGCTGCGTCATTCCAACTTTGTTGAGTTGATGTTGATGCTCTTCTAAGCCAATCTTACGGGTATTACGTCAATGGATTTGTTTCGTCCATGCTTTCTTTGTCGATCTGAAATGATAATGCAGCTCTTCTTTCGATGTTTGCTTACATACACATTCACTGAAAGTGATCTACGAAGAGTTTTGAGAAAATCGTCTTTCATTACTGTTATAATATTGCAGGAATTATGCTGTTTTCGACTGCTATTTATTTCTTTGAACGAGACGAACCAAACTCGAAGTTTTACTCTATTCCTGCGGCCTGCTGGTGGTGTAAGTTTCTGTTTCAATATCTTTTGAATCTTCGCAGTATCCATTTTAATCACCAGCCCATCCACTGCTCGTTGACATACATACGCCTGTTTCAGTATAGTCTTCATTGTTTCGTGTCTCACGGCTTGCCCAGTTGGTTATCACCACTCATAGCCAATGGAAAAGTTTGACCATCAAGTCGATAGCCTTCTATCTTGTGCTTGAAGTGTTAAAAACAATAGCTTACGGATTGTGTTCAACGTGTATGATTTTCAGCTTATCTCACTTTTGACATCTTGGTTGAAAGGCTATTGTTCCCGATTTTTCGCCCCTAGACACTACACATTTCCCATGTTGCTTGCGTCTTGCAAGGTACACCTGCACTTTTCCAATAACCTGTTCGATAATGACAACCAATCTTCCATCTCGCTTACTTCACACGCAGCTAACCAGAAGATTTGTTAGAGCGGAAATAATTGTAAAATCGAAAATTGGTATCGTTTTTTGTCTTCTTTACTCATCTTCTGGGCGTGTGTGACGCAGTGGTTGGAGGCGCCACTGCGACATACACGTGGAACCAATCCCCGCGCCCATGGCCCACCAAGCCTTCCATCCCTCCAGGGTCTGCAAATTGGTACCGGACTTAACTGGGAGGATGGCAACACTGGCTCGATACATCGGTAGGCCATCGCGAGTCATTGTAAAGGCCAGATATGCATTCAATTCCAACAATACTTAATGAAGTCGAATGCATGACGCATCCCTCAAGGATTGGTCAACGTCGAGAGCTTTTTAGAGCTTTTTTTTACTCATATCCTGTGCTGTTTTAAGCTTTATGAGTCACTGATTTCTTCCTGCTAATGAAATTAAGTGATGTGCGTATAGCGCAGTGGTTGGAGGGCCCTGCTGCACACATGGAATAAACTCCCGCGTCCCAGGCTTACCAAGCCTTCAACGTCTCCGATGTGCAAAAATTGACACCAGATTTGTCCGGGAGGATAGCAGCACTGAGTCGATACATTGGTAGGCCACCGCATCATTGTAAACACCAGATATGCATTCAATCACCTCCAAACGGTCCCTATTGAAGTCGAATTCATAGCGCATCCCTCAGAGATTCATCAATGCCAAGAGCTCTATCCTTTTATAATGGAATTAAGTAAATCATATTTGTTGCAAAATTTCAACCCGGATACAATTTAGTAGAATTTGAAGAAACTGGTTTTCTCGCGGTGAGTTGAGCGTCAGAAATTAATGCATTTCTTGTAGACATGGTTTTCTTGAAGTTCAGCCGAAGGTCGATCTTTCCTAAACACTCCAGAATGTGGCTAACGTTCGTTCAATCTGATTAATTCGTAATGCTATAAAAAAGCTACTATTGCTAAAGTAAAGTAAAAAAAACTAATTTATGTAAATCTTACGAACTCCCTTTGTTGAGCCGACAAAAGTTGGTATCGGCGGTTGTTGTTGTGCTTCGATGGCCGACATCCCAGCGACTTTGCCTTCAAGGCCTGGACGTATTTTATGCAACGCTTTCTATATTATTCAATAAACTCACAGTATTAATGGAGTTCTGTTATGCAATTGAACGCTGCTTTATTAAGACCTACTCACGTTTTGTCGCCATATGTTACTGGCGACGATAAGACTTCCCGTGTGCGAGGTAATGAGTGAACTCCATCCAGACCAAAAAGACCAGTCTGAGAAACGGAACCGAGTCACACTTGTTAGCGAGGTCTTCGCCTTCTTCGCTTTTAGATCTTTGGAATCTATCCAAAGCGCTTCAATGGTTTTGCATTTGGATGTTTACGATTCCTGAACCAGGATCGTGACAGTATCTTCAAAATCGTCACCGTTATGGTTTTGCGCCCTATGTGTATCTAGAGTACTTGGCGGGATTTTAAGTTTTCCATCCAAGTGTTCTCCTGTATGGATGTTTTTCTCTGCATGCCTTACATGAGATCAAGCATATTACAACTCACGAAGTCGCCGTTTTTTACCTTTAGGGCAGACTACACAGCTTTCTGAGCCGCACAAGCGACCATGCGGATTTATTGACAGCGTAGGATGCTAGGCGGAAGGTCAACAGCTGCCACAGAATTTTCAAGACCTTGTTTTTGTGAAAAAAGTGGTCAAAAAAGTAAAGAAGATAACGTTGCGGTTTCATCTTTTTTTGCTCCAAACCTTCAAGCTTTTCAAGCTTTGAGAAATAAGCGGCATATAAGATACTTTCGTGACCTTTTAATTACTTCTCTGTGAAGCATTTCTGCTGGCCCGAGATGCTCATGTTGTCAGAGGTTTCATGATAGCTTGCTTCTCATTTATTTCTACGCGACACTTTTGCTGTTATTGGCGAAACAAAGTGCCACATTCGTTATTTTCAACGGGATACTTCGTTGTATGTGCGTGTTTGATCGTGATTCACCTCAGTCGTTTGGTTCCTGATATTCTTAAAGGTAATGTGCGAAACGTCGGCGAAGTGTGTAAATAATGTCTGGAGAATGCCTTCGGATGTTCGGTTCTCATCATGCTAAATCACATGTTTTACGCTCTTTACCAGCAACATTGCCTAACCGACTATGGAAAACCATTGGGACAACATTCAACTGACCATATTGACGCCACCTTTTTGTGGAAAGGATCGGGGTGGAAGGTTCTGAAAGGCGTTCTCCATTCTAATTCCGAATTTACCTTCCAGACGCCGGAAAGCGGTTCTTTTCGGCATAAGTTGCCGAAAGTTTCGCAACATTTTCTACTTAAGCCTCATGTAGGTCCACTCTTACCTACCGATTTTTAATTTGTTGTGGTAAAGGCTTCTTTGTGAGGAATATCAAGCTTGTGTAACAACTATATTTGATAAAACTATACAAGAAATATCGATAACGGTTGTTCGTTGATTTGAGACGGATCGACTTCATAAACTTTGTGGTTTAATTTTTAAGTGTTGTCGTGTATTATACCCGTAGGCTTCAAAATGTGATTGGAGTGTTCAGCAGTGGTCCACGCTTCGGGTCTCTCAAACTGAGAAAAAGTTCACTATTTCCAACTGGAACGCAGCCAATGCTAGAAATTGTCACAGTAATAGGAGCATAGTCTAAGGTGGAGGATGATTCTTCTATTTGCAGGGTAGTCAAGTGGAGGTGCTGAAAATTTCTGGAAATCCTAGCACTGCTATCTCGGAACTCCACGAAAAAAATATCTTATTCATCGAAAAATTGCTATTTGCCCTGAATTAATATATGAAGCCGCAGTCTGTAGAAGCAAGCTTTAGGAAATAATTTAAATAAATATGCATACATGTGTAGGTGGGAAATGTGCACGCTGTGGAAGGATCTTACCATTAACATTTGTGGGCTTTTGTGGGCAAAAAACATTTTGATAATGGAGGAGATGGGCTTCATTACGATGTTACAACAAAGTTTTAGCCAGAATTAACTTATGCAAAAAAGTAAATTATGTAGAGCTCATTATCCTAAGAATCTTTTTAGGTGTGATTACAATGACGACGGTCGGGTACGGCGATCTCGTTCCCGTCACAGCAGGTACAGCTCTGATTACAGTCATCCACCGAAACTCCTCCCATTCTTATTTAAATATCTTTAAATGTTTCCTTTTCTGGGACACATTTTTTTAAAAAGTAAAAGAGGGCTTGTTTCAAGTCTTTAAGGGCTTTTCAATTGTGACATGATAAAGTTACATCGGTAATAATAGAAAGTCATATCAACCCATATGCGACTCTATGTGCGGTCATTGTGTACGCGATCGAAGTGCCAAGGGGAGGTTCTGATTTTTTACAGCCCACAAATCTTTTTTGTCGCTTTTTTACGTACGTAAAGAAGGAAAACTGTTGTACAAAAGGGATTCTTGTGCTTAGAGATGTGTCCGAATGTAATTTTGACATTTGCGGCTGCCGCGCTTTCGTTAATGACGAAGAAATTCGCTATCAAAATCACATTCTTGAAAGGTTGTTTACACCCTTGAGCAATCGACCAAGCCTCCTCAGTGGTTTCCACTATAAGCCTTTAAGTTTTCAAGCATTCTGTTTATCGAAAATTTAATGGCACTTGTCGCAAAACAATATGGGGCAGAAAATACCAGACGAAGGAGAGCATCGTTGGCCTATCAGAAAGACCAAGCAGCTTAAAGAATAAGTGAACGGAAACTCCACGGTCATCTTTTCGATTCAGCTGTCTTCCCTGGACATCATTATGTGGCGGAGAGGTGAGGTGGCACTTCAACCACGTCAAGAATTCTACGCACACTCAACTCAGAGAGCACCTGAACGATGACTTCTGAAATCCAGCCGGCGTTCACAATGTCAACCTGGAATGTGCAGCTCACATCATCAGAACATATTCCATCTTCGGGATCCGGGAGATTACATGTCGACATAGGGCGCGTGTGCCGCAGTGGTTGGAGGCGCCACCGCGACACACGTGGAATCGATCTCCGCGCCCCTGGCCTACCAGGCCTTCCATCGCTTTGTGGTTGGCAAATTGGCACCAGAATTGTCTCGAAGGATAGCAGTACTGGCTCAATAGATCCTCCGCAAGTCATTATAACGGCCAGATGTGCATTCAATCACCTCCAACGATACTTAATGAAGTCGAATGCATGGCGCATCCCTCAGGTACTGATCAACGCCGAGATCTTTATTCTTTATAGCTTTTACATATCGACAACGAAGCGGTGAGCTGGTCACGTAATAAAAAGAACAGGTGACAGATGGACGAGAAGAAGAGTGAAGTGGATTCCGAGAGGAAGCGATCGCCCTCTCAGACTGCCACCTACGTGATGGGTCGGTGTATTTTTGATTCACGTAGAGATTGTGCAAGGATAACAGATTACGCATCGCGGACATCACCATATTCGGAGCAGACCACCACTATGAATGACGACATGGGAATGAGAGACGTTCTGAGGCCGCAATACTAATACAGACAGAGCCTTCGAGAACCTAACTGATTTATCGAAATGTAAAACATATCCTAACAATTTGAACAAAGAACAAAAAGGTGGAACAACAAGAAATAAAGTTTTATTCTTTCTTGTAAAGTTTTATCAAAAATTATAGAACAATGAATTTAAGCCAAGCCATTTCAGAATTAGTTTCTGATAGTGCAGTCGTCTTTACACGTAATATACGCACGACTTTAATGAAATTCAACGGTTAGGTTTTGGATATAATATGTATGAACAGCCACAATGATGCTGAGGTATTTCCAAAACTTCTTTCCAAGGCCTGTTTCAAACCCGCGATTACCTTTCCCGTCGGCTCAATGTTACCCATCACCCCATTGATGCCCTTGTTTTACCCTTCTATCAGCTAGTCTTGTTTGAAGTGATGAAAACTTATGTAGTTTTATTGTAAACATGTTAAATAAGAATCACCTGTAGTCCCATTGATTGTCGAGTGACTAGAGCGGGCGCCAGTAAATCTTCCATTCTTCCCTGCCGCGTGCAAGAGTAGCCCAGTGGGCTCTGCTCGTTCAAGGAACTCGTCGAGCATCACATCTTTCTTCAAGGCTCTTTGTGAAAAACTCTGACCATTGGGTCGGTGGTCTTCCTGCAGTACGTTTGACATCCCGAGGAATACAGTCACTAACGGCTCTTGTCCATCGGTTGTCATTCATTGGCGTACAGAACGGCATCTTTGATTTTTGTTCGTTGACGCAGATCGGAGCTACGGATCCTATCCCTTAATTATGTGGAACGGGATACTCCTTGCATCGTCCTTTCGATGCGCTTTCGATAACGCTAAGTGGCCTTTCATCCTGCTTTAGCAGCGACCAAGTTTCTGATGCATACGCTAGGGCAGGAAGTACCGCTGAGTCGAAAAGGTGGGCACGGGGTCCGGTGTTCCTTGTTCTCTTCACTACATCCTCGATGCTCTTGAAGGCTCCCCAAGTCGCTCGTTTTCTTCTGCTTAGTTGTGGAGCAAAGCCGTTCATCATACTGTTTTCCCGACCTAGATAGATATAACCGGAGCATTCAGAGATATGCGTTCCGTTGAGCGTGAATGGGGCATGCGAAACTAATCCGTTCTTCATGAACATCGTTTTGGTAAGATTTAGTAGAAAACCAATCTTTCCACAGGCTTTATCAAAGTCGTGAAGCATACGTTCTGCTTGGCTAATGTTTGCTGTTATAAGGACGATGTCGTCAGCAAAGCGATGATGATGTAACACCCGACCATCGATTTTCACTCCCATATTATCCCATTCCAATGATCGCATAACGTTCTGGAGGGTGGCGGTAAATAATTTTGGCCAGATGGTATCGCCTTGCCTAACTCCTCTTTTGACGTCAATGTTAATATCGTTGTAGAATGGTGATATCTTGGTTGTGAAATTTTTGTACAGTTCGCGAAGAATCTTAATGTGCTGAGTAGAGACTCCTTGACTAACAAGGGCTTCCAAGCCTGTTTCTATCTCAACTAAATCAAAGGCTTCTGTAAATCGATGAAAGTGAGACAGGGCGGTTTTTTGTACTCTCGCGATACTTCAATGAGCGTTTTTACCGTATGGATGTGTTCGATCGCACTAAATCCTTTTCGAAACCCTGCTTGCTCACATGGCTGTCCTTCGTCTAGTGTTCTGTCAGTCCTGTTTAGGATGACTCGAGTGAAAAGTTTGTAGACGACAGGCAGTTGGCAGATTGGGCGATAGTTGCCGATACTGTGTAGGTCACCCTTCTAGAGCAATAGCACGATCTTACTGGTGGTCCAATGAGTACTGACCTTGCATTGACACTGGTAACATGTGAGGAGCCGAGCCAGTGTGTTTACGAGGACTGGCGGAAGGTTTTTCAGGTGTTTTGATCTTATCCTTTCAGACCTGGTGCTGTTCGATTTTTCACCGACGAAATGGTGCTTCGATGTCGGATTTCGGAAGGGAGAACCGGTGGTGCGACATATCCATCTTCCTTTATTTCATATGATGGGAGGTGGACGTGGCTATCGAAGAGATCCGAGTAGTATTCGTAAATGGTTTTCTCCACTGCCTTTCTGGACGCTGTAACTATTTCATCTGAGCGCCGGAGTGCAATCATTTTGGTCTTGTATTTGGCGAAGCTTCGGTGGGCTTTGCGAAAGTGTTTCGCAGCCTCCGCAGCTTCGACCATTACTGCTGCTTTTCTCTCTTTAAGATCCTCTTTCATTGCCTGTCTACATTGTTTTGCAAGTTCGGACGTTAGTTTGCGGTTGCCTGCAGTTCGTGCGATTTCACCGTGGGCTATCAGCTCGAGTGTTTCTGGAAACAAACGTCTCTTGGTGACTTTCGACGACTAACTCTCAGCGTTCATAGCGCTAAGGTGAAGATGTTGAATGAGCCGATCGAATTCTTCGTCGATGTTATCGACGACGCCATCTTTCCAACCGCCGACTAATGAATTGAATAAGCCGCAGCCTGCGGTGGTTCTGGGACTACGGTTTTGGAATTTAGCGGCTTTTTCTCTTTTCCGCGAGAAATAGAATCTTGCACGAAGGACGCG